ATCGATAATTTGATGATTATGCAGGCTCATAGTTATAAAATGAAAGCACTAACAATTGAATAATATCACAATCATAGAAATATTACCACAATCATAAACAAAATAATCTCGAGAATTAATTCATTACGAGGGTGCAAATCGTCATTAAGTTAATAACAACAGTTATATGTTATTACATCTCATTAATCTAATCAATTTAATGTAGTGACAAAATGGAAGGGACTGCTCATTTATAGCGAGTCACTCGTCTCTCTCTCTCTCTCTCTCTTTGCAGTGCGAGCATCTCAGTGACAGAGCACTTCGCTCTCACGGTATAACGCTGCATGTCTAGCCGCGTGGCCTTGATCTCTGAACGTTCTGTGGACGTCGGTGTCACGCACATAAACTGTACGTGCAGTCGTGTTGCAGTAGGAATGCTACTACGTACTGTTATTATTGCTGCTCGTCATTTTACTATTATTCATTTTAATTCATATTAATAGTAAATGAAGAATATCTTCATATCTTCTTCATATTTCATATTTCATATCTTCTTCATATTAAAATGAAAATGACGGTAAGATGTCGTATTTACGAAATTCAACATCTGCGCTTGACATTAAATTTGCAACATAATAGTTGAACATTCGTAACGTTCATCAATGGATGTTATTTTAGCAATTATACTCGCGCTGACATTTTATAAGTCAATTAATTAATTTGGAGTTACCCATATTGAGTCAAAACTCCCTATATAGTGCGTTTATCTTCACATACCTCTGAAATTTGCATAGACATTAATTTAATGATAATTAGCCCGTCACTTATGACTAATTGACGTTTATAAACCATGCTAAAATCATAAAAAAACATCACAGCTCATCTCTAGATTCATAAATAAATTCTTCACATCATCAATATTCACAATAATATTTATCATAAGCTAGGAAATCGGAACACGAACATTTCGCTGTTACCTGTAATATCAATCATAATGATTTAAGACTTCTAGCATTATGATATTCAATATAAGATCTCCTCCTTATATTTGTATTGAGCGACTGTTTAATTATATTTGACACAATATAAGAACTATTTCATTATATTGTTATTGAGCGATTGTTAAATCCACATCATTATGAAAGGATTAATTCATTATTGAGCGAGTTTTTAGTTATAATATACAATATATGAATTATTTCATTATATCGTTAATGAGCGCTTATTAAATACACTGGTAAAGAGTAGTTGCGCATTAGTACATGGTTAAATTCTAATCACATGTAATTACAGCTTTACGTTCATCATATAAATCATAACCTCATCTCTGAACTCGTCAGTTCGTTCAACAAAATAAAATTTATAATGTCATTTGAAGTTTTTAACAGAGCGGCGTTTTAGTTAGTATTTCTAACCTCACAGGATTTTATTTTCATCTCATATGAATATGAGTGATGGGCCTCTTTGTCTCTTCATCAGTAATGATTCAATTATATCGGCTGGAAACGTTTTTCCCGGTGAGCGTGACTAGTGCTCACTGACATACACACGATGGTAGTCAATCATCGCAGTACGCTTGCATCCTACCGATTCAACTAATTTGCACTCTGATTATTATTGCTCAACATTTAATAAAATTTCACACGTCTACGTTTTATGGAAGAACATGTTAGTTACGTAGGCAATATTTATAGTAAAAATTCACTATATAGAGGCTCGCTGCATTAAAGCATATAAAAAATTCTCGCATGATCAGTGCGTTCCTGCAGTTTTTTATACCCAGGAGGTGCTACAGTTTGAAACCTGTGGAATACATTTATTTATTGACGTCATACATTTATTATTATTATTCTAACACGTATTTACGTAAGATAGAATACTCAACTTCCGGGCGGCGACCTCGGTCCAGGCGCCTGTAGTTGGTGTTAGCCAGCTCTGTGGTGTCGGGTCAGCGCCAGTTGTCCGGGAAGGTTCTTGCTCTGCATTCTGATTAGCGTTGAATTATCTTCCGTGACCTCGCGTCTTGAAGATAGTTGAATATTTGACCCCGAAGTTACTTCGTCGGCATCTGCATCTGCCTTGCGTCGGCATATGCTGCGATGAACTGAATGTGATGAATACGATCTTCGCTCTTCTGATGTAATGAATATCCGTCTTCTAATATAGTTTACCTTCAGCATTCGCAGAATATATTCACAGCGTTTTTAGTTAGGAAGACGTTCAATATTTGTGAAGAATTGTAGCCAACATTTTATTGAAGGAGAAATCTATTCAGATTCTTCTTTTTCATTATATATGTAACCGATATTTCTCAGACACCCGCGTTTTACGCACGGGGACATTTTTCTACCTGTGCATTTCGTATATCCGTCGACGACGTTGTAGACGATGTTGGCGCTTCTGCTACTTTATTCGAAGTATTCACTGATTTCCGTTTAATTGGAAAATCATTGCAATATCGCTCTGTAGCTTTTCATCTTCGAACTGTTTCTCGAACTTTTGTTTCCCTATCAACGTTCTGTGCACTCTCTGAGGAAGACATTTTCACTTCACTTCAGTTCACTTTTCACTGCCACTTTATTACACTTTCGGGTGCCAATTGTCAAGTCTATCTTTTTATATATCTTTATATTTTATATATATTTTATATATAAATATATATAGTCTATCTTTTTTATATATATAGAAGTATATAGAATATATAAGAAAATTTAAATATCCTATTTTAGTCCTTATTTGCAAATTCGCACATTGCTTATCGGTTGCAGTTGCAATATTGCAGAGACTTCTAACCAGCTCCAATGTTCGAGTTACATTTTAACTGTCATACATGACGAAAAAAACGGGCATTAAATTTCAAATTCTATTGGTTGGGATGCTGTTACTTTGGCTCATGCGAAGAACCTTATGACTCCCACGACATGTACCTACTCCCAAACATGTAAAATTCAGTTGCCAATATGACGCCAAATGACGCACTAGCTCAGATTCTCATTAATATCTTAAACATCCAATCCACCGCAGTGACTGTCAGAAAAACGAGATGTAGAATCGATTTCAATAAAATCTTCTATAATAAACTTAAGCTTAGTGAGAGTTGAGCTGCGAAATTCTTGTGAAGGGTTATATCAGAAGCTTCTATTGGTGATGACAACGTGGTAGATACGAGTGGTGACAGAATAATAAATATTGGCGGTGACAATGCGATAGATATTGGTGGTGGCGGACAGATGATATTAGTGGAATAATCATAATGAATGTTTTCATTCGATTGAATTATATTACGTTTTTATGATCTAATATGGTTCAAAATGAATATTCGCAGACGGAACAAAATTTTCAAAAGAAATTTCATTTGGACAGGCACTAGCTGTTGTTTATTTCATTTGCACAGGCACAAGGCATTTTAACACCAAGTGTTTTATATGTTTCATACATTGACAGATACCGTAGTGGGGCTCGATTGAAAAGACTCTGTTGCTTATTTTATTCATCGATAGACATTGTTGTTTGTTTCATTAGAAAGATTGCTGTTTTGTTTTATTTGAACAGACGGTGATGTTTGACACTACTGGACTGACACATTTATGGTTTGTTTAGCAACCATTACTGTTGTTTGTTTTATTTCGTCATGTGATGTTGCTTGTTTTAATGGGCAGGAGTATGTTGCTTGTTTAGATTACTTAGTTGCAATTAACATGGTAATTCTTACAATTATTATTAGTAATAAATTGTGATAATAATGAGTTTTGAATTTTTGATTTCCTATGACCCGCATTGACATTTTTCATTGATAACAACCAATCTTGCGTTCAGTGCGATCTAAATTATTCCATTTTGGTAAAGCTCCTGGTCATGCAGATATATTGACCTTATTTTCTTAATGGCATCCAGGTTTCTCATAGTCACAATTTAGGCGGAACGTAGCCCACCTTCAAGAGAGCAGGAATCAATATCGGTTGCGTGACGCTTTGCTATCGCTCGCACTTGCCACTGATAAATCATAAAAATATAAGGGAATATTGCTGCTATACCGCTATCAATGACACTTTTTTTGGACTTAGCCTTCCATTGAATGCTTGTTCAAAAGTCACACAAGGAAAGTTCAAGCATAAATATACCGTTTTGCTATCAAAGAAACCGTGCAATTTCAATGAAACCTTTTATTGTTGTGTGAAACGTTCTTCGTAAACGACGAGAGCTTTATTTGTTGATCGAGTTAGCACTGGAAGACTGTAATAATTTTCCACTTCCTGATAACAAAAATTTTCTGTTATTTTTCATCGTGTCGCTTGGGAAATTACCGAACAATTCGGAAACTATCTCAGAGGGAAGTTATTCTTAAATAATTTAGTTTTTTCCCAAAAAAATATTCCTCTATTAAATAAAGATATTATTAAATGATTTCCCACTCTATCATCATGTGTTACCATATTAATAAAAATTGTTCCCCAATCGGCATGACATATCCGTTAACATGACGACGATATTCCAGATGCAAGCAATAGAGGTTAATGGAAGCAAAGGCTTAGTATTTCCCGATCAAATTAGAACTAGATTTATTTTATGCGCACCCAAATAAAACATTCAGAATTATGATCCATTGTGCCACGATGTCGATACGCTCATTGAAGTGCTCGAGCAAATAAAGCATTGGCTATAGAATCACAGCGTTCCACTTTACCTTCTTACATTATGCACATAAGTCTTCTTATATTTCTATGCAGCAAGAAGAAATGCATAAAAAATATCTGGACAACAGATATTCATTAAAATTTATGTGCAAGAAATTTGGGCTTCGGGATAGCATACTAGTATTTTTTGTACTCATATATTTATATATGTAATATATTGTCCAGTATTTACGCATCTACCTGTAACGAAACTGAAGTCTACGTTTTAGTGATATGTTTGCTCAATATAATACTAATGTTTCATTTGCAAAGAAATTTAAAGGAGGAGAGAAAATTTTAGGATACACAAAAATAATTAGAATAATTTTTTTGTTTGTTTCTGTGCAGACGAGGCGATGTCGCCGTTGCTTTTGTTATTCGTGATCTATACAGCATCTGTCAATGGAACGTCTAAAAGTAAGTTTCATCATTTCATATCAATGAATTGAGTGTAGAGTATGTGAAGAGTGTGAGCAAAGTGGGGGAAGATTGGCCCATAGTGTGAGTGTATAGTGAAAAAAAATGGGTTCATAGTCTGTGTGTAGATTGTGTGCATTGGGTTGGAAGTCTGGGTTTAGTTCGTAATTATAGTCTAGGACCAAGCTGTTCCAGAAACAAAAGCCATTTCATAGTGAATTTTGAAATATTTATGAATTTTTTATATAGTGTCGTGGTTGAGCTTACGATACAAGTGAATATAGTAGTGTATTATTTATGATGAGTTTTATTGAATGTTCACTTCTGATAAAATGGCGTTGTAAGTTTTATATATAGCTCGGCCACCATTCTAATGCTCCAGTGAATACATTACTCGCTAGTAACTTTCATTCAACACACACTCGCGCACAAACTAACGGAGAAACACAAACAAATACAAAATTAATTATTTTGCGTATACTCTTGAAGGGTATTTTACAGCGCTCCCTGGTACGCAACTGAAGTGCATTTAGCATCAGTTTGAAGTAATATCCGGAGACAAAGATAAAACTATTGAAGCAATTTTTTTCAGGCAGTGAGTGCAGAAGCATTAGAGCTTATTATTTTCTACCACTCATCGGTCAGTCAATTTAATAATTTCAACCAGCAGGATTCATGCTAGTGAGATACTCTTTTATTTGGACATTTCTACTTGCCAACATTGTTAATAATTCGATTGTCACTGTTAATTGTTCAATTATCACTGTTAATAATTTAATTGTCACTTTTGACAATTTAATACTAACTGTTAATATTTAATTTTCTCTCATTTGTCACTTTTAACTATGAAGTATCCCATGCATATTGCACAGACATCATTTATTCAGGAATTTGTATTAGTTTTCTACCTCACAACCACGTTCGTTAACACCTCCATCCAGAACACCGAGCATTATTTTACTTTCTTATGTCACGAGTTCATTCCCTGTGCAACATAACGCAGCACAACGCTGACACTGTACAGCTCTCATGTGATGTACATAAGCAAATAGTGAACGGGGTTTACAACAACATATTACCAGTAATTAAAATATTAATAGCTAGTTATTTTGAAGAAAGTGATGCTTCCGGTAATTTGATTTCTGTACTATGTTGTCCAGGTATCTTCATGAACAATATTGTAATATACTGCGGCTAGAGCATACAAAAATCTGAATATTGGAATGTAGAGTGGTATCGCTGGAAATGCTATGATTGGTTGATATGACAGTTGTCAGCACACGATAATTAGATTTCGCAATAAATCATAACTCACAAACGAAACAATATCATTAGATGGTTTTATGTTTGCGGCTTGTAAATTGACCTTAAAAATTTTTCTGTTGGTTGATTTTCGAAAAGGAAATTTGCTGCACAAAATGATGGACCACGTTACTATTTTTGCAGGCAGTCCTCAGCAATACCTTACTCTGAAAGCCGCAAAGTCTGCGGGCGTGAAGGAAGAGCCAGCGTTTGAAATAGTGGACCTGTACCCACTCAACCACTATCCAAAAGTTGTGAATAATTCAGTAAGCAACATAACCGGCCAGATCGGCTCGTCCGTCTTCCTGCCGTGCCGCACACAGCATTCACTGGAGAGACAGGTTAGTATTGTAATACTCATACCGTATATGCTTTTGGGTTAAGAGCAACATTGGAGAATCGTATGAATTTTCGAGACAAACACACAGATGTTTACGGGCTTCAGACAATACTCACTGGATAGGTGAATAATAATATATGTAGATAAATAATTTGTGAGAGTGCGGAGGAATTTCCAGTTGCAACAAACTTATTTTAGTCCGCTTCATCGCGCGCTGTGGCTTCACAGGCTCGTCATATATCCCCTAGAGGGACTGATGACGTTGATGCAACGTGGGAGTGCGTGTGCACTTCCGAGCATCTCCGGTGATTTGCGTGAGTCGGCGTTCGAGCTATACGCCGGCTACGCCTCATTTGTCTCGAATAATATTAGTGTATTAGGCTATCTGAACGAATAAGAAGATATTTGCAAGGTTGTGTTGAAAGCAGTGGAAAAGCCCTCGTCTTGCTGGTAAATATTATATTCTAAAATAGCTCGAATTCTACTAATATAATCTTAAATTATACATATTTACAGTCGTTAAATTAGTAGGCATATTCTAAATTATTGACGAAGTCGTACAATTTAATGGCTTAGGAACACAACGACGGAACAAACAACACGATTCCTGAAAGAGACGCACGTTCCACGGCATTAACCTAATCTGAAAAAGAGAAAAGCCTAGGCTTCATCCAGAATAATTCAAGTGCGTTGCAAAGAGAAAGTTCGTTTATACTACTCGTACCAAGAGCGGCAAATGCAATTTAGAGGAAAGTTTCACTGTTTTCAGAGGTCCATCTGGTGTGCAGTTGGCGAAAAACAATTCGAAACGAAATTAAGTTGATCACTATTAGGAAACGAAAGATGGTTAAGAAACTTTGGTCACTTATCTCAGCCTATTAATATTGATAATGATCGGAATAGATAATTAGTGTTTTTAAAGCCGTGGAGTAATTAATTATTTTCCTTCAAGATAACTAATAAAAAAGAAATTTATCTACCTAAAATTGCCAGCTCAAATTCAAAACTTAGGACATTAGTTAAGGGATTGTAAATATTGCAAGTATCGTGTTCACATAATTCAGCCCACTAATAAATTTATGTAGATAATTCATTACTTAGGTACAAAATACCGGGCACCAATTATTTTGTAACTGCCATTAACTAATTAACTTGTTTATGCGTGTTGATTTACAGGTGTCATGGGTACGGAGGCGTGACTGGCACATTCTTACGTCAGGACTCACGTCCTACACGAAGGAGCGTCGGTTCAGTGTGCACCATCCCGAGGGTAGCACCGAGTGGACGCTGGCCGTCAAGTACCTCACGCTGGATGATGCCGGTACCTACGAGTGCCAGGTAAGGTGGATTTCACTATAAATGCATGAGTGGTTTGCAGGAACTGCTGAACTTTTTTTCAATGGATGTTGATAGGAGATTCGCGTAGGTACTCACGGGAGCCAAATAAGGCCGATCTCATTATCGAAGCATTGATGTACTGCAGCAACTGCTGAACGCAAGACTTGTAAAACGGACATTAATTTTTTTTATTCTCAAGACGTTAATAGAAGTATCGCAGCACCGATACCAACAAGGGAGCTAGTCGGAAATCATTTGTAGCTCATGATGGTAATGCAAGGCAACTTGAAGTTATCATTGCACACTTCGTATACTCGATCAGGGGCCTAGAAGGCTACCGGTATATATGAGTGCCAGGTAGGGTGGGGCTTACGAATGTCTTCTTGGTGTGAGGTACAAACCGATAAACATAAGAGGCGCACACTTAATGCTGAGATCTAGATGGCCAAAGTTTCGTAATTATGACAACCAATAGCTAATAATGCCACGGATAGCAAAAAACTCTGTCGGAATTGAGAAATAAGTATCATCCGGTATGTTACGATGCTGATAAAAAATGTCGACTAGAGAATATCGACAAATAAGCAATTAAAGTTTGAAATTTTCCGTAAGCCTGAAGCATTTTGAAGTACCTGATTGACCTGGCTTCGGAAGTGTTGGTTGATCAAAACCAATTGCCTAATACGACAATATTTAGACGATGTCATGATTTTTGCTTGAAATATTTTACAGAACACAGCACAGAACAAAAGATTGGTACGCAGTTATAGAAGAGACACAATGGGGTTGGTGCAAAAAAATTTAACTACGGGATTCTCTAAATCTCCTAGGACCTCATCGTATCTTAGTCATCAAACAAATGGACTCCCTCATACTGGCTATATCTCCTCGTAGGCTGCAAAGATTTCTTGGTGGCGTGTTATAGGGTAGCATCTGTAATGATCCGTTCCATGATATAAGCGCCATCAGCCGTGATTGGGCTGGTAGTTTTGGGTGCTTCGTCGGCAATACATTGGATTTACATTAATTGAAAAAATATAACTCAGTACTCACTGCAGTGAGTGATAGAGAGCGCATTTTCTCGTCGGCGAAAACGTGAAGTCACGGACGGACAGTCGGACATGGCGAGAAAAATAGTGCATTTTTTCATAAATGAGAAAATGCGCAAAAAAGATGCGACGAATCGCTCGGAACATTTCTGTAACTGATGTCCTAAAAGCCTTGAATAAAGTACATTCTATGGACTGAAAATTTGCCTTTAATTCTGTTAATCTGAACATCAAATCGGGCAAGAAACAATTACATCCAGTTTTGAACTGAAGTTTGGGTGGTGCGTTCAGCCCATCAGCGAGGTGTACATATGATTTTTGGATGTCATAATCGTTGCATTGAAAACTGCAAAGGCACTATGGCTCGAATGATTTTGTTATATTGTTATATAGATTACTAAGCTTCCTCTTGTTCAGATTGATTGCTCACACGCATTGCTATGGACAATTAATTAATCCTGCAACAATACTCCCTAATTTAATTGGATCGCTGCAGCCTCTTCTCCCACTCCTACAAATTGCCAGTTCCAAATTAACCCGTGAAGAGATGTGACTAGAATAAAAATTAAGAAATCCCCTGGTAAAGCATTTCTTCATATCAGAAAACATTACTGTTTAAAATCGGGATCGTTCAATGTTTCTCATTTTTAACACCATCAAAAAAGCAGCGGCTGGAAGAATATTAATCTCGAAAAGTGCTAAACTTTACTGAGTACATATACTCCGGTAATGTTAAACTTTTTGTGTATATTCTTCCTAACCTGGTTTTCCTCGTCACCGAGTACACAGTCTTTATGTTGCCCTGGCCTAAATGATCTGTAAAATCTCGTATTTGTTCATAATTCAGAGTTAATTGTGAATGATTCGATAGGAGAGCAGAAATCAGGATTGGCCAGAGTAGTAATTATCGGTGGAATAATATGAACATTCTGTTATGGATAAATAATACTATATCAGCTACATCATTTGCCTAAAGACTATTAATCTACGTTCGTACTAATGTCCGTGCAAGCTTAAATCGATTTTTATAACTGATAATAAGCCAAGTTGTATGGGAACACCGAGTTCACTTTCAGTATCCTTCGATGACAAACCCAGTTAAAATTCAGGGCAGGGAATAGAGCAGGCCGTCGCCGGCTGCAGAGCCGACGTAGGGACGCGACAGAGCAGCGATAGAGCAGAAATGTCCGCTTTAGAGACGATATCGCCAGCCGCGTATCAGCGCTAATTAGCTTCTGAGTACCTGCCCAGGTGTGCTCTGTCCTGCCGTTACGCAGCCCTTACTGAGCACCGCCTGCTCAAACCTGCCCAACGCCTGCTCTGGGGCGGCTCTGGCAGTGTACGCGGCAGTTACGCGTCACCGTTTGTCAACAACGATTAAAAAAAATTGTTCCTTCTCTCTCTGCGATCACCTAGACAACTCTCTTGCAATGACAGGTTGTATTGACATTGGTTACTGACATTCTCATCGTATTGACATTAGCAACGTAATTTAGAATCTAACAAATTCAATTATCGAGGAAATATCCACATCAAATTACTCACCGCTATGAACTATCTGCAAACGTCGACTGAAGCTCCGGGATTCGAACGCAGGTTCTCCGCGTCGTACGTCCACGCCTGTACCAGTAGACTGCGGGGACACCTTACCAGCCTAGGCTCTATGAACTACTTAACTATAATACAGAACAACTGACTCGCCATCATCTAGCAAATCGAGGAATAGCTATATTTGTGGTTGAACTTGATAGATATTATTCATAATGCACTAATTTTAAAAAATGAACAAAGTAGCCATTCGTATGATCCCGTCAGTTAGATGTAAGTGAGTATTAGAGCTAAATTTGTTTAGTAATTTATCTTATTGCATTAGCTTCATGTCATTCGGTAGTTTGATAGGAAAATTAACAACGTACGCAAATCATTAGTCTACTGAAATCGCAAGTTCTCCAAGAGTTTTAATGCAAAGAAAGCGCCAAATTAATTCACCAAATCTTCAATGAAAACGTTTCGGAGACCTCGGTATTTTCTTTGCTCTAACATTTACTGTTATTAACGCGTTTTCTGTATATCCATGTTAGAAAACTTTCTCATGATAAACTGATTGAGATCTCGTTTTAGCAAAGCGTGAATGACCTTCAACGTTTCTGTTAGAGTGTTAAAACTGGAAAGGCATATAAAATTCTTACGTAATTCGAAGTATTAAAATACTGACGTGAAATAAATATCACAAATGGCACCGGAAATTGGCCCAAAATATCGTGCTATGCGAATGAACTAGATGGAGGATGAAGTTCATTCTCCCGTCACTGGCTCACTGTTTCCAACCCCTACCCTCCTCCCTCTCTCAAAACCCCCCCATGCACGGCCTGCTAGCTGCTCTGCACAGCTCCCTGCCGGACAATCCCAAGTACCAGCGCTAAAGCAGCGCAGAGTTCCGTCCCTGCCGAGCTGCTAGAATTTTGTCTCTATATCAGCCATGGCGCAGCGCAGTTTTAGGGATAGATGGCATTCTTGGGAAGAGCCCCTCTATGTTAGCTATCATGATGCTAGACTCTTCCCTTCCTTGCGTACTTAGTTGCTGTAACACTGCACTGCCAGGGGTCTCTGGCTCTGCAGCTGTTGCGTTTGTTGCTGTGACTTCTGCTGTTGTTCGTGCAGTTTCAACAGTTGTTGCACTTGTTGCTGAATCTGATCTACTTGACTCTGCAGGTCTAAAAAATTGCTGCGCCTGATATCGAGTTCTCTGTGTGGTTCTCCACTCCGGTAGGATGTGGTGTCCGGTGTGGTATTTTTTGGGACTGCCCTGTTGTATTTCTGATTACGATAGATTCGCCCCTCCCAGAAAGGAGTTTTTTTAACAGATGCATTTTTTTCTGAAATTTTGAGTTTAGCAGTAGAGTCTATCTGATGTTCAGGGGATGAAGTATCAAAAACCCGTCTCCCTTTGGTATCTCTTCCCGCCTGCGGGCTGAGTCTAAGGTGATGAAAGCGACAGTTATCTCGTTTGCAAGCGACATTTTTTATGGTATTCCAGCACAATAACGGGTGGTAGAATGGGCAGTATTTCCCATTTTTTCATCCCTGTGGGTTTTTGCTTCCAAATGTTGTAAATTTGTGACAAATCTTAGGGTGAGGGTACACACAGCTCAGTCCTTTATTTTCCTGATTGCAATTTCCCTGAAGATACCTCCAGCAGATGTGTTTGTGACCTGACGGAGTGGCAGCCGAGTCATTTAAATTTAAACGGCCTGCGGGAGTGTGTGTTGAGTGAGGGAGAGGAAGGGTTACCCTTTCCCCATCCTTCTCTGGGCTGCTGCGGTCAAGGGGTGGGGTGCGAGTAAAGGGTAAGGGAGGCGGGGTATGATTACTCTATCAACTTACTAAACATAATATTAACAACCTAACCATTAAGTGTAGTCTTCAGCCAAAACTGAAGAAACTCTTTTCATTTGTCTCAAATATTTTAGCAGATTAAATCTCATGTTGGATCCCTATTAACTGAGTGCAGGTGGTTGACAAAAGGGCGAGCGTAATATTCCTTGCTCTAGAACAATGCCCTCTGGAGATCTTATAATGCTCAGAAGCATAAGGAATTTCTTATTCGAATAAAACTGCGTCGACTGCGGGACTTTTTTATTCAGAAGGAAGACTGTAGCGATGGCATCAACATGCGATTAATTCAATCAGCCATCTCTATCATTTAATTCTATTTCTAAAATAGTTTATTCCGCCATCTTTTACGGGATTTCTTTCAGAAAAATTATTTCAATTAAATTTTCTGTGCGACTTTTGAATACAATATGAAAGCGTACTCGGTGATATGCAGCATCGTTCTTTTATTAAATCATAGTTAAATAATTCACAACATGATAACGCATCATGACACGATCAATGATAGATAACACATGCCAAACAAATGCAGGATCAAGTGCAACGCGAATGAACATAAATGTATAATAAAAATGAATATCAATAAAATAATACGTTCAATACTTCTTTGTATACAAACTTGTAACTGTGTTGTGGACATATATCATCTCTGAATTGTAAATTTGTTGCTCGAATGGAAATTCAATCATTTTAAAATTCAATAGTATAATTTTTATTGCATTAATTTATCCGTAGCCTGGCAAATGAATAACAGTTATGCACAGAAATAAAGACTATACAGAATTCTGTAGTCCATTTGCCACGCTACGTGCATCGCCGAGCTTAAATAAATAATTTAATATGTTCATTGTCGTAGCTTACATTTTTCGTGACCTCCACTGAATATTTGAAGAGAATAAATTGTTTGCCAATGCTACTCCTTGTTGATACAACTCAGTTGGTTCAACTCACAAATTTTCAAACATTTATTTATGAATTATTCCATGATCCATTACTAATTCATTTTTTGCAGCATTCCGAATACATTTATATCAGTATATTGATACATGAAGAATTGATGATTAATTATTGAAAATATTCGCATTTCGACACTACGTATAAAATTCAACGTAACCTTGATATCATTAGTAAGTGGTAGGGACGTATTAGCCCCAGGCCACGTTGTGCTCAGCCTTCATATTCCTCCGCCTTCAGCCCCAGTAGGGTAGTCGTCCTCGCAGCCGGGGTCTCTGGTACTGGTCATGCAGTGTGCTTTTATACAGTGTTCCTCTTTTATACAATATGTACTTCTTTGATACAGTGTACTTCTTTGATACAGTGCACTTCTTTGCGCCTGGGTACAGTAGAGGACCTTCGCAGTATATACATGTTAGGGCCATTTCATTCTTGTGTTGCATATCAAAACATGTTCTCTAGCTGTTACCGGTATGCATTAAGTTGTCCTGGCAGAGTATGGCAAGATCTCAGAATATGATCTGTAAATGCTCAACCCATATGGGCATCGGCAGATTAAGGTAGCACAGCCGTTCATTTTTTTCAGTATCCAGAACACTCTTTTGCCGTGCAAAAGTACGGAAGACTTACCTTCAATTTTCTCAACATCTTTTACCCTAGTATGTCCTACTAGAGTAGAGTACCGGAGCGCCTGCAGTAAATGTTTTCTTTTTCTTTCACCCTCTTGTTCCCAAGCAAGTTACTGAAGCACCGCAGTACACGTTCTCTTCATCTTTTTCCCTGTTGTGCCCCGGTAGAGTACAGTGGCACCGCAGTACATATGTTATTCTTCTTTTACCCTCTTGTGCCCTCACAGAGTACAGTAGTACCGCAGTACATTTTCTGGTACCACAACTCGCGCATGATCAACTACGACCAGGAGCGCGGTGGGGTGGTCGTTCACATGGAAACGGAGCCTCGCGTCATGTCGCGTCTCACCATCGCCGACGCCCGACCCTCAGACTCCGGCAACTACACATGCGACGCAGAAAACACAGAAGCTGCCAGTATCACTGTATACATCACTCAAGGTCAGAAATATGGTCATGGTGTAAATATGAAATATGTAAGAATTAATTTTGCGTAATTTTGTCTTCATGATGGACATAACGCAAATTATTGTACAAAATTATTATTTGGAAAAGCAAATAATTTGAATATTTTCGGTTCCAGATATTAGCTTTGAATTATTCATAAAATTTGATCAAATTTATATAATAGCAGCTCTTAATTTCTCAAATTGCAATGGCGGTAGGCCCTCAATTTTGCTGCCCTAAATTGAGCCAACTGCGGCCTCGCATTATGGAATGTCAGCGAGCGAGCATTGAGTCGCATCCAGTTTACGCAACCTCAGCACGAACATTACGGCCTGACAAGGTCAAGTGCAACGTCTCCGTCGTTATTGAATCAAAGAAAAAAATCTTATTGGCCAGCCAACTAGATGGCCGTCTGTCACTCGAGAATTTTTGCAGTCGGCCAGCAAAGCCTGTTGTTTTTCAACTAGTTTGCGGTTCTTGATGGAATGGGAATTCATTTCTACTTCCATTCCCCTTAAAATTCAATTACAACAGGACGGAAGTGAATGGCTATTGAAAGTTATTTCAGCCTGAGATCATAACTTTAAATATTGTAATTTTCTTGTCTATTTTATAGCCTATTTTTTTTATCATTTTTCTTGTCCATTAAAGCATAAAAAGAGAATTATAGTTACGGAAAAGAAAAGTTTTCCACCTAAATTCAAGTGAAAAGAAAAATCATAGAACATAAATCACCTGAATAAATAATTATAACCGAATTGAAATTATAACTTTATTCCCTTTTTTTTCAGGCAACAAAATTGCTGCGATTAAGCCCAGGGACGTAAATCACGGCTCGCTCCTACAGATTTCAGTTGGAGTAATTTTTGTAACCGCAATTCTCGAGCATATTTTTCTCACCATTTTTATCCGTAGAAGTTTTATGATTATTCCAAGCTTGATACCGCTGCCTGATTAGATTGAACACGCTTCTATCGCCCAACTGCATTTATTAATTCCAGATGGCAGTGATTCTCGGTGAATAACTTAGATGTTTGATGGTAAATTTTTTTTTTTTTTTTTTAAAAAAGGCCTCCCACACTCACCATTCCAACAAAAAAAAAGGAATTGATTTTATTAATTAAAAACAGGGAATGGTTTCATGTCAATGATCAGGGCCCCGACCTTAACGCCTCTGATGGTGGCCTACACCGGTAAATCATGTATGATGTTATACTACAATTTCCAAATTTATAAATTCCAAAACTATATAAGGAAGTTTTGTGTTGTGAATATAATTCGCTGTACATTGTTTGATATTCATTTTTCAAAAAATGATTGAGCCGATGATTTGTGAGAAATTATAAATTTCTCACCGATTATTTCTGTAATTTCCAAGCTAAATATTATTTCCAAATAATCTTCCATGATAATAAAGGTAATCTTGAATTATTTATTTCCGACGCAGTGCGGTTGCCTCTTGTCCAGCTTGTGCGGACACGTCAATGTCCGAGACTAGGCGAACAAGCTCGTCAGATTTCTTAGATTTTTTTGGCTGTTCCGAGCGGTGGTCGTCAATCTGTGATACTTACGAACTACAGTTTTGTGCCGTCAACTAATCAGTGTCTCCAGAAGCTTCATACTGATTCTGATTCGCTGTCCCTTATTTTGTGTGATTGCCGTGTCATTTTCCTTTTGTTTGGTTTGCAATACCTGTGCTTATTTTTGCTCCTGTGGGAAGTTGGACATATTTTAAGTGTATCATTTTAAACAAATTTATATCAAATTTCTATCAGAATAATATCTAATATATTTCAAATCTATAGCAAAGTTTAAGTTTATTTCAAATATATATCAAAGTTATTAAATATGGTATGATAAATATATATAGAAAATTCCAGCAAATATTTTAAATTATTTCAAAGTATAATCAAAGTTTATTAAATATTGATAGTTCTATTATGCGAGAAGAGGGTTCGTGCAATTCGCGATGGCAGTTGGCTATACTGTTTCGGAATGTGCAATCCTAATTTAAGTCTGTCATCTTCTTTCAACACGCAGTGAATCCTTTAGCTATTCTCGCTGTCTTTTTCCGTCCAACTTCCTACTCCTCTGACTGATTTCCTCTAAATTTCTCAAATAAAAATCTTCATTCATTCCATTTGCAAATAGTCGTAACACTGGGGCATTAAAAACCTCAGGTCAGTTGAGATCTTAAATTAATTTGTTCTTTGTTGCTGAAATTGCTGATACTTAATTTTACTGTCAGATCCTGCATGAACCTGACAAAGATTATGCTTATTCCTTTCTAGTATCTACATTCCTCAAGTTTCGGGTCAAGTGCTGTCGATGAGCCTTTCCTCCGTGCTACGTTATTTCTTATTCGTTGTTTCGTATTCGTAACGTCTACGTTGTCTGGCGTCACGGCTACGTCGCAGCACCTGGGAGACCACACCAGAAGCCCTTTAAACTTAGCAACGCTCGGAACAAGCCAATATAATTTTATTTTCATTGCCATTGCTTACTAAATTTTACTTCTTCGTTCCTGTTACCAGGAGGATAAATAAATAAATGAATGAAAACCTTATGAAGCATTGTGGCTATTACTGAAAGCGCCGTTGCTGCTTCCAGCCAATTTCAATTGTTCTGAATTCATTAAATAAACCTTTGAATCGAATCTCGACTGTGTAAATCTTTACAGATTCCATAAAGCAAGATTGTGAATATTCAGATCGTAAACAAATATGCAAAATCTGCAAAGTTTAAAGGTTACTTTTATTTAAACTGAAATTGATTACATACAACCATAATGATGATACAACCATAACCTGAATAACGGGCTTCAAGCAGGCACTATTTTACTGAGAAAAGAGCATAAGTTCTGTGAAAGTTCCACGAGTGAAACGAATGCAGGAAAAAATTATTTGTGTCATTCTAACTTCTGTTTAGTTTTGATTTTGGTTTTTGTCTTCGTATGACAGGTTTTAACTTCTCTAAGTGTGAACTTTCAATGTCTTCTGTGACTTATACACCAGTTAGAAATAAGTAGTTTAAGATACGGTATAAATTGAGCAAAAATATCTTCTATATGTGTGAATGGCTCATTGAAAATTATGAATATATTTCCATTTAAACTGTTTCGTTTTAATATCCAACAACTACTGCCTGACGATATTTAGAAATAAGTAATACGAATATATCGATGTTAGAACTCCAAATTATAAAAAAAATCCAAATGCAAAGTAACAGAAATGTTTGAGTTTTTGAAATTCTACAAAGGAAATCGTCTAAAAATTACACTTATACAAAAGAATTCAAGTATTCGTCTCATGAGGTTGACACAAGGCAAGAGCAACTTTCAGGCTTTGAAACAAAATATTCGGTGTCATTCACTAAAATTTAGCGACTTGCTGCGACAAAGTCATCCTAAAGAAACTCTTTCTAAATCAACATTCTACGAAAGACTTGATCTGTTTCAACACATGTGTAGGAGAATAACGGCAGAGTAGGAGAATACGTCTACCCGAAAAAAAAAAAACAAAATTAACAATGAAGTTCATTTAATAGAAGACGGATTATGTACAAAGCGCGGTATCTTTGTTTATTGAGGCACTGATATTATAATGCCATCTCGGAATCCTATATTACTCGAGAAAACTACCCTAGCTTGCTTTGTGACGTATCACTGTTTGCCTGATAATAATTCCGTAGAATGTTTGAAATTGGTGCAAGTAAAGCACCGTGTAAAGTATTATTACGTTCAGAGCAAAGCAACGTGTGAAGTATTGTTACGTTCAGAGAAAAGACCGTGTAAAGTATTGTTACGTTCAGAGCGAAGCACCGTGTACCGTGTGAAGTAATGTTACGTGCAGAGCAAAGCACCGTGTAAAGTAATGTTACGTGCAGAGCAAAGCACCGTGTAAAGTAATGTTACGTGCAGAGCAAATTACCGTACGTGTTTGGTAATAAAACATGTTGTCAACTCTGACGGAACAACAGACCATTGACGGTGAGATCCTCCCATTTGTACGGGAAGCAGTCAGTCGGATCAATTCACGTCAATATCGAATAATAAATATCAATAGAACAACGAATCAAAGTGTCAATATCAATGCAACAAATCCTTTGTGAAATCAAGGGCTATTTCAATAGCTAAAGATAAGTGGGCATTTCATGACCACTGGTTCTCTCGTTTTAAGTGATAATTAATATGACACGGCATGTTTCGAATAGTCCTAATAGAAAGCTACTGTAAAGCCGATATCGCATCACATTACTCGCACGCTTCAGTTGATCAATTCGTGGCACTCAAACGGCACCGCGAGCCGTAATGCGATAGGCGTGATTATAACAGCGGCTCATTTATACGAGCCACACTCGACCGACTAGCCAGGCTCAATAAACCCCGTTTTACGGTTAAATTATTCAATAAAAGCTTGTAACTTTATAGCCCTCGTGACAGCATACCACACAAATGTGATTTGGATTGAACACACTCTCGTAACTACATTGATTTATATAATGGATTAAATTTCGTTGCCCCATGGGAATGTACATCAGGTATGGATGACCTGGTCGAAAAAATTAATCTAAAATGATTATTTTGATAAAAAATAAGAATTCATATCACTACAGTAGTACAGTTCATAATCTAAAATCCACTATGCTTTACACTATATTTTTATGTGTTGGGCAGGCCATATTGACACCTAGAATTAGGTATAGTTGAACTTTTTCACACAAATTAGGTCATTGTTATCTCATTTTCCTTGTAGAATAAATCTGAGGAGTTACTTTAAGATTTTTATTAACTTGACCGTAAATTAAAGAATTTATAATTATAAAGATTAATTTAATTGGGTCTATTGACTGTGCAAACCATAATTTAGTTAGAGGAATGTTCTAGAATTAGGGGACATAATGACTTTATGTATTCTGTTATTAATTTCTTTGAGTTTATCCCTGCCAGTTTTACGAGGTCAGTTCGGAAAATTGGCCTCGCAACTTGGAAAATTAGCCATATTTATTGATTTTATAGCCCAAATGCGATAGTTTATGTGCGCTAAATGGCCAATAAAGCTTCCGGCTTTCCAAAGCTTATTCATTGGCAGCATAGAAGAAAATTGCATGTGATAGCCATTTTAAAATTACCGTTCCTTTTGCTTAATGGCAGAGTATTGATTCACTGACGTGCATGAATGACAATAAGGCAAAAATTGATAAATTGAGATTATAGCAAGATTGCAAATGAGCTGAAACCTTGACAGAAGAATTACACATGAGTGATAGTTTTGGTATGAGCTATTTTTTTTATTATGTAATTTTCAGCTCATTTAATGATATATTAAGCTGTTTTTAATGGTGGCTCAGATCTCCTCGGTAGACGTCAAACTTATCGAAAAAAGTAATCGTAAAGAAATAAAAATATTAAGCATATTTTTAAAAAAAGCTAGAAAAAGCTGTGAGGTGTATAGTTCATCGCACAATATCTCATATTTCAAGTATATGTTTCTTTGTTATCTTTATCTGCGCGATCCGCTGTATCAATACCGATCGCTTTAATTATCTTCCTCACAATTCAATGAATCAATACGTTCCTTTCTCTGACTGTTGCGATCAAGAGATTTAAGAAACCCATTTTCCTATTTTCCTGTTCTTTAGAGATCCTGGCCAACACGTAATAGATAAAGTTTGGCATCGTAATTTCATCAAATTAATCCCGTAAAATATTTACGTCGGAGTGGAGCAGGCGAAGAGCTTTTGTGGCTTCTCATTGCCAGAAGTTTTGAAAATGTGGTCCATTGGCCTTCAATTTATGTGAGGAACCGTTTCTAGGCAATATTGATTATCTGAAAAATTTGTTTAACTATTATTTTTTTGAAGATTTGCGTGAGTATTATTGGATAGAATTGTTAATGGATGCTTTAACTTGTAAAAAGGACAGTTTGATATCAATTGCACATGAATGGGCAGTTTATTTTCGGCTTCATTGATTTTTATTCATGGCATCCGGGTGTGTTCAACTGTTCATTCAAATGCTAAGTCTACTGGTAATAAA